TTAGCTCGGGGAATTGATTCAATGTCGCTTAGCTCCTTCGAAATGTCACCGTTGGCATCGAAAAATTCCAAAGAACGGAGAAGCCGGAGAAGAAAGAAGAAATCCTCGGGGGGAGAAGATTACAGCGAGGACCCAAAAGGTCTGAAATCTGAATCGGAAGACGGCCAGCGGAGGATGGTTAGTCTGCGCCAAAAAAAATGGCAAAGGGGGAGACCTCTTGTGAAAATCCCATTGAAAGCGAATGCTGTGTGGGAGAAGAGGACAACAATGATTATCTAATATGGAGAAGCAGGGGACATTTTGTAGAAAAAGAGGTGCAGGAGCTCATTAGCATAACTCATTAGCATAACTTATTTGCATATGCCACACCCCTGACATCACCAGAAGTGTGTCAGGAGGCCACACCCACTGCTCAGGCTCCACTGGACTGTTCTGGATTGCTAGCTATTGGGGGGGGGGACATGCAGATCTGTCCTCGCAGAGGAGGGAGAGCTTGTACCTGAATAAAACTTGGTCTTAAAGGTGCCACTGGACTGTTTTGGACCAGGGGGCCGGGGGGAGCTCTGCAACTTACCTGGCTGCTTCTTGCTCTGACTGAGGGCTGCTGGGAGCAGGGGGTGGGGCTTGTTGCATGTGCCCGCCCCCTGGGCTCTTTACTGCCGGAGCTCCGCTCCTGTGCGCTCCTGCAGGAAATGACCCCTGTGGAGGAGCAAGATTAAGGCTTGCTACATTAATATATCTGGGATGTGGAATGGTATGGCATAGCCCCCATTTCATTAGCTCTCAGAGGATAAGTGTGGTTGGTACTTGGATGGAGGACGGCCAAGGAAGGCTCTGCAGAGGAAGGCCATGGCCAGCCACCTCTGCTTCTCACTTCCCTTGAGAGCACCTTGCTGGGGTCACCATAAGTCTTGGATGGGGGATCACCAAGGAAGGCTCTGCGGAGGAAGTTAACTGCTTCTCACTTGCCTTGAAAGCCCCTTGTTGGGGTCACCATAAATTGGCTTTCACCCAGCAGCACTTACGTACGTAGATTAATATATCTGCAGACCACCAGCTCCAGACGGGGCCAGGAAAATTATCTCGGGAGACTGGTCTGCAAGTGTCCCCTGAATTAGTTGCTTCTCTGCTTCTCGTACACGGTGCTCCGGATTGCCTAGGTAAACATGTGGGTGGGTTGTGAATGGAGGTTCTCATCTTCCACAGGTGGCCCTTAAGTTGATTGCCAACTCCCTGGCGTTGTGAAATGCATAACAACCCAGGACCAAAGAATCCCTAAATGCTAAATTAACATAAGAACATAACATCAGAAGAGCCCTGCTGGCTCAGACTGAGCAGAGCGTTACCCTGGCTTCTCTCCAGTCTTCTAGTAAAGTAAGATGTGGGGAAGAAACCGGCTCCAATTGGTCCTGGCGCCTGCATTCAGATGTCAGTTTTTAAAATTTTCCCTTTTAATAATTACACTCCCCAAACAGAAAAAAATGGAAAATGTAATCAATATAACAACACTTCTACTTATTATCTTCTGGGCATGGAACAACGGTCACTGCAGGTGTGGAGGGGGAGTATTTGTGAATTTCCTGCCTTGTGCCGGGGGTTGGACTAGATGACCCTGGAGGTCCCTTCCAACTCTATGATTCTATTCTATGAGTGGTGGCAGGTCTATACATAAGTTATCTATGGCAGGTTTCCAAATATCTAAAAAAAATTCCCATCGGCATCTATATGCTGTGTCTTCAAATACTGGTGAAGTTTTAAGTTCCACAGTCCATTGATTTACAGGAGGCGGACATTTATCTCTCCAATGTTGTAATGTGAGTCTTTCAGCTGTAGTAAGGGCAGGGAAGGTCCATTCCCATCAACCATCAGTTAGCCTCCAAGAGATGGGCAGGTAGTTTAAAAGTACATAAGCATCCTCAAAAATCAATGGACATTCTAATACAGAATTGATACGAGCAATAAATCCCTCCCAGAAAAACTGAATGACTGCACATGCCCCCAGAACATATGTTTGAGAGACGCATCCTGTGAGATCCAGTGCCAACCATTAGACACTTTACTCGGTCCTTTACTGAAAATTCGCTACGGTGTCGAATATATCCTAAGCATTTTTGTTGTTGTTGTTGAATATGTTGCAAGTTAAAATTGATAGAGACAGGGGTCATTTCGTAGAAAAAGAGCTAGGGGAACTCATTAGCAGAACTCATTAGCATATGCCGCACCCCCTGACATCACCGGAAGTGTGTCATAAGGCCACACCCCCTGACATCACTGGAAGTGTGTCATAAGGCCACACACCCCGCCCCCAATGGTCCCGGCCACCGTCGGCCTTGCAGCTCCACTGCCGAGCCCCATGAGGGGCCCGGCAGTGGACCTGCAAGGCCAGCAGGAGTGCAAGGAAGCCCCGCGAAGGCCCTCCCTGGCCCCAGGCAGGCAGGGGTGGGGAGAGGCAGGGAGGAAGCAACTTACCCTCCCTCTTCTCCTGCCTCCTCCTGGCTGAATGAGGGCCAGAAGCGGGGCGGCCGGAAGCAGGGGGCGGGGCTTCATCATGTGTCCCGCCCCCTGTACCTCACCCAGGGGAACTGCGATCCCCCACAATCCCCCCCGAAATGACCTCTGGATAGAGAGAGCAAGTTGAGGGGGCTGTGGTTCAGAGGTAGAACATCTCCTTTTATTCAGAAGTTCCTGGGTTCAATCCCCGGCATCTCCAGTTAAAAAAGGACCAGGCAGTAGGCGAAGTGAAAGACCCCTGCCTGAGACCCTGGAGAGCTGCTGCCAGTCTTAGTAGACAATGTTGACCTTGATGGACCAAGGATCTGATTCAGGATAAGGCAGCTTCATATGTCTTCATGTGTGTTCAGGTACAACATTTAGGGCCATATCCCATGGCCCGTCCCGCCACTTGTCTACATGTCCTCCCCCCTTTGAAAGCAAGTTTGGTGTAGGGGTTAAGAGCGTAGACTCTAATCTGCGAGAACCGGGTTTGATTCCCCACTCCTTCACTTGCACCTGGCTGGATGACCTTGGGCAAGCCATAGTTCTGCCAGAGCTGTTTTTGAAAAAAGAGCAGTTTCTGTCAGAGCTCTCTCAGCCCCACCTATTTCATAGGGTGTCTGTTGTGGGGACGGGAAGGGAAAGGAGTTTGTAAGCCGCTCTGAGGTCCTTTCCACACTTGGATCCCATCCCTGGTTTTATAAGAGTTCAGCTCACGACACAATATCTTGCATTTATCCCTGGTTATAACAGTATCTGTTTATTCCGGGAGAGGAGTGGGGTGAAACCAGGGTGACCTCAATGCAGGGGTCATTTCCTGAAGGAGCACAGCAGAGCAGAGATCCTGCAGTAAAGAGCCCAGTGGGCGGGCACATGCAGCAAGCCCCACCCCCTGCTCCTAGAAGCCCTCAGTCAGAGCAAGAAGCAGCCAGGTAAATTGTAGAGCCCCCACCCACCCCGGCACAAAAACGTCCAGTGGCACCTTTAAGACCAAGTTTTATTCAGGTACAAGCTCTCCCTCCTCTGCGAGGACAGATCTGCACGTTCCCCCCCCCCCAATAGCTAGCAATCCAAAACAATCCAGTGGAGCCTGAGTGGTGGGTGTTGCCTTCTGACACGCTTCCGGTGATGTCAGGGGGTGTGGCATGTGCAAAGTTATGCTAATGAGTTATGCTGAGATAATTACAGGGGTGAACTCGCAGGCAGTATAGAATGTAAAAATACCCCGAGATAATTGCAGGGGTGAACTCGCGTGTAGTGTAGAATGTAATAATACCCCGAGATAATTACAGGGGTGAACTCGCGTGTAGTGTAGAATGTAAAAAGACTCTGAGATAATTACAGGGGTAAACTCGCGTGTAGTGTAGAATGTAAGTTCGGGGACAGGGTTGAACCAGGATTTAAGGACTAGTGTGGAAAGGACCTGAGACTCTGAGTGAAGGGCAGGGTATAAATCCAATCTCTTCTCTTCCTCTTTTTCTTCTTTGGATGCCACGGCAAACTGGACTTTGATCGAAGGCCTATGAAAGCAGGAAGGGGAGGCAGGGTAAAGGAGGAAGCTTGGCAGTAAGCTAGGGTGGTGCATGATCACCAAGGACCCTCTGTGTGGTGTCTGAGCACTGCAAGAGAGTTTCATCTCCATTTTAAAGGACCAGGCAGGAGGCGATGTGAAAGACCCGCTGCCAGTCTGAGCGGACAATACTGACCTTGATGGACCAAAGTTCTGATTCAGTATAAGGCAGCTTCCTGTGAAAACAGAATATATTTATTTTATTTATTTTATTCAATTTATACCCCGCCCTCCCCCCTCAGGGCAGCTTACAAGAGGCATACGCCAATATAAAACATATTTAAAACCATTTAAAATCACTACAGTACAATAACATTAATTAACAAAAGTGCTCTAGATGTTCTAACATGATGTTCTACAAGATGGCGTATTACACCTGCTCTGTTGCAACTGCTCTCCCTACTCAGCATCATCTGCTCCGGGAAACACTGATGTTCCCTCCTCCAGGGCCAGGTTAAGATGGAACAGTAGTGATGGTAGTGGCGGCTCCTACTCATACGCCTGGTGGAAGAGCTCCGTCTTACAGGCCCTGTAAGAAACACGAGCAGCCGCAAGGCTATTAACTTTCACAGGGATACTACAGCAGGCAGCTGTAGTGACTCTCTCCCGCGGCTGCTTTCTGGCATTCTGGGTGTCACCGAACAGTTCTTGCCTCTTCCTCTATCCCACCAGCTCAGAGCCTCTCCAATTAACAGGGTCGGCCTGCATGAAATCTCCGATCCTTAATCGTTAGTGAAGTTAGCAACGCTTTGTCGATGGCATTGATAATGCACAGAGGATGGGGAAACGGATGCGCCGAACGAGTGACACCGTGCAAGCGCACTCGGCTTTTCAGATCTATCCAGTTCTCGAGTGACACATGAACGGGTTGTTTTTGTTTCTTTCTTTGTTGTATCCGTCCAGAGCCTTTATTCCCTCCCCCCCCCCTTGTTTAATTGAGCGGGTTGCCTTTCTAATTACAAGATCGTTAGTGCCAGAGTGGCAGAGCGAGCTACTTTGCTCTGAATGGGCTCTGGCACGCCGAATGAAATGTCAGCCTGGGCGTGGAAGAAAGCGACACATTTCTCAGCATGTTCCTTCCACTGATGAGTCGGCTTTTTATTTGGCGTCCTTGAATTTGTCATCTGCAGACACACACGCGCGCGCACGCACCTCAAAGCAAACTGTGGCGAGAAGTGTGCCTTAGTATACAGTGCATCTCCCTTGCAAAGGGAGAGCTGGCACCTTTTGGGGAAGAGCATGGCAGAGTCATCTTCCTGCAGATAAAGTCTAACCTGCCTTCATTGTATTGACAAAAGGAATCGGCTTCAGTGGGCTTTTAACAGAACCCAGAAGGGAAACGTGTTTTTCTTTCTGCATCGTCATCCCCCTGTTATTTCACAGTATCAGTCAGGCCTGATTAGGTAGCAGTTATGGCCACCCAAATGTCTCCACTTGGCACTGTTTAGGCATCTGCAGGCCTACAAATGTACAGGGGGAAACATTGGCCTATTATGCACTGGTGTTCTCCCTCACTTTCACCATGCATGTCCGTGGTGTTTTCTTTGTCGTTCTGCATTCATTTTCCTCCCTTTGGCACTCAGTTCGCTTTCTGGCCGCTGTTTCCCCAGGTTTTCTGAGAGTGCTTTTGTGGGGCGTGGGCTTCACCTGTTGACCCCACCTGCATAGGAAGGGCCTCTAGTTGGGCCAATGTCGGCTAGTAACATCACGAGTTTTAAAAAGTAGCAAAAATATGTACAAAACCAGGACAACCCACCCCATCTGTCGCCCTCCCAGTTGCTGGCACAGAGGCAAGAGGAGGGGGGAAGAAATGTGGCACAGGGACTTACTGGCAGTCAACTCTGGGAGATAAATGGGACGCCCCGGCTTAATGCTTTCCGTTCGTTCCAAAGTGTGTTTTTTAAAAAATAAACTAGATGCTGACCCATGTGAAGAAAATATGGTGGAAGAATGTATAACTCCAAACAGTGGTGACATGAAATTGACGTCCTTTCCTCTGTTTCCCCGTCCCCTTCTCCTTTGGGTCCTTCAAGACTGTCCTGGGTTTCACCTCTGGTTCGCTGGAAAATTCGGTGAAGCGGAAGGCCAGCCACGGGAGTGTCTTCAGCTTCCGGTTGCGCAGCAGGGACATGGGCTCAGAGGCGGACTTTGCCGACGACGACATCAGCACCGCTGGGGAGAGCGAAAGCCAGCGTGGATCCTTGCTTGTCCCAAGGAACGGGAGGCGTTTGAGTGTGCAGAGTCAAATGAGCCACAGCTCGCCCAACTGCACGCTCAACGGCAAGAGGAACTCCTCGGTGGACTGCAACGGCGTGGTGTCCCTCATCGGAGGAGGAGGAAGCCCAGACCCAACGTCTCCAACGGACAACCTGTTGTCCCCGGTTATTATGGAGAAATCTGGAACTGGAGATTCGGTGAGTCCGTTTTTCTTTGTTGCGCAGAAGTTGGGCTCTTGTCATGACCCATCAAGCCAAATCTAACCCACCAGCCATGTGTTGGAGTTGATGGGTGTTTGACAACCCTTCTCCCAGTTTTGCAAGCGACCAGAAATTCAGGGCATTTACTGACCCTTCCATCCAGGACTGGTGTACTTTGTTTGGCTTGATAAATCAGATAATCTGTAAGGTTTCACCTTGCTTATGGTACATTCCCAGACAATGGGATCATTATGTTCTTGAGAATTTAGGAGTAAATAAGACTCTCAGTGGTCCAGTATCCCCAAAGTCACAAAAACATAACCCGTTGTTCAACAGGGAACTTGAATCCATAGAGAGATCTTGGTTGGGGTAATGGCTCAGGTGACAGTGGAGCTAAGGGTAGAAAATGCCCCCAAGCCCATCTTGGAATATGTAGGAGGGCCAAATATGCTCCAGTAAGGACCAAGGATGTGCCCAATGAAAAATTGTTGCTTCAGTGGGTTGTTACAAGGTACTTCCTGCTTATCTGTCCTAGTTCTTTGCCAGGGTAGGATTGCCAGCCAGCAGGAGACTGGGAAGGGGAGCCATCACAACAGCATGACATCATTTCTAGGCTGAAACTAGAAGTGACCGTATGGTTGTACCATAGAGTTTCGACTGAATCCTAGAGTGGCATGACATGGCTTCTGGTTTCCCCCCTAAAACGATGTCACATCATTGCCACAACTACTTTCCCCCCCCTCATCTATCCCCACCACCACCATTCTACCAAGTGGCAATGGGAGTTCGGGGGGGGGGGTTGGTTGCCAGGAAATGGACACTCTTTTGTCAAGAGCTCTCTCAGCCCCACCTACCTCACCGGGTGTCTGTTGTGGGGAGGGGAAGGGAAAGGAGTTTGTAAGCCGCTCTGAGACACCTTTGGGTAGTGAAGGGCGGGGTATAAATCCAACCTCTTCTCTTCTTCTTCTTCTTTATCAATGAAATTCAAGAAGGAAAAAGTGGGTAGGGCAACACGGTTCTAACAGGACCACGACGGACGTCTTCTGCCCCCATTTCACTATTTTTTTTTGTTATGAATGTTTCCTGTTTATTTCAACTTTATGCAAAGCGCAACAAAACAGAGCTACTCAGACTCTGCCTGTATCCAGCATAACCTTTTCCCTTCAAATGCCAACTGTGAAGTGCGCTGCTTTATGAACAATCCCTTTATTTATTTATTTGCGTTTTCATTAATGCCGTCTCTGAACCACGTCTGGAGCACATTAGCAGCTTAGTGGTTCTCCGTTTTGCTCACTTACAGCTGTTGTGCCTCTGAGCTAAGCACGGGGCTCTTGACTCCCACTTCACTCGGCAGGAGATGAGAACACTTAGCATTAACAAAGAGGTATTGGTTTAAATCCCGTCGAGGGATCTTCCCTTGGCATCGGCCCTCGTGGTGCTTTATTAGTGTCAGGCACTGAAATCGACAAAGGGACCTCTGCTAGGGCTTCTTCTCCTCCTCCTCGGGTGCCACTTCCCGCCTTTACAAAAAAGAGAAAAGAAAAGTCTGTTGAAAATTAACTGGAGTAGGCAGCCCGTAGAAAACACTCTTGGCACCTCTGTGGTCGTCTAGGAAATCTCGCCGAGGCGCTATAGCAACAGATGCTCACTTTGATGGTGCGGAGGGGAGGTTGCTCTCCCTTCCTCAAAGCAGGTTCGGAATTTCGTCTGCGAAGGCCATGCGAAAATGAAGGAGAAACTAAATGGCTCCGAGCCCCAGGGCTTTTTAGAGTCAGACTTTTGAGAAAGAGGCTAACGTTCGGACGGAAACTGTGAAATAATTCAGACTTGAATACTGCTCAGCGCTGCATTTTTTAAAAAAAGGAAAGGTTGCTGTCTGAAGGTTTATTCACCCAGCATGTGCAGTTTTTATTCAAGATGGGCCGTCACAGCTTCGTCCAGAGCAGGGGTCCTCAATGTTCTTGAGCATCTGGGTGGGCACCTTTGGAATTCTCACACAGTGTGGTGGGCGCAGCCATAAAACGGCTGCTACAAAATGGCTGCTGCAGGAGGCGGAGCTAGCTACAAAAAGGCTGCCATGTCTGACCTTCACTCACAAGGTGACGATCTTCGTATGGTGGTGGCAGCTGCTGCCAAAGTAATGTTTCTAAAAATCTTCACAGCCAATGAAATCTCCAATAGCCAATCAGAAACCTTGCTGGGCATAAGCCTCCCCTGGCCTTACCCACTTTTGAAACCACTTGGCAGGCGCCAGGAAAGATGGTGGCAGGCACCATGGGGCCCATGTGCACCATGTTGGAGACCCTTTCTCCAGAGTATCTTGGGAACTATAGTCTGGAAAAAGCGCTGAGAAATTCTTTATTAGAGATCACTTAACACCTTTTCTGGAGCTGCGGTGGCTCAAGTGGTTAAGACGCTGAACTGCAGGCTGTGGAAGGTCGGTAGTTCAGCAGTTCAAGACCCGAGTGTGCCGCATGACGGGGTGAGCTCTCGTCTCTAGTTCCAGCTCCTGCCAACCTAGCAGTTCGAAAGCAAGAAATTGCAAGTAGATAAATAGGTACCACTTCGGTGGGAAGGTAACAGCGTTCTGTGCGCCTTGGTGTTTAGTCATGCCGGCCACATGACCACGGAAACGTCTTCGGACAGCGCTGGCTCTTCGGCTTTGAAACGGAGATGAGCACCGCAACCCTAGAGTCGGACTCGACTAGCTTTCGAGCAAGGGGAACCTTTACCTTTAACACCTTTTCTAACTATTATTCTGGCTACCAGAATTCTCTAGGGAGAGGAAATGAAAGTTAAATATGACTGGGACTATTTATACTTATCTATACCCCGGACCTTTTTTGTTGTTTAGCGTTCGGAAGCAAATTATTTTTGCTCACAAATCGTCTGAACTGGCTGCTGCGGCACTGGCGTGCCAAGTCACCATCTCCATAGATGAGAGAAGATGACAACGTTTGTCTTGGGCCCTTTCCGCACTCTCCTTTTAATCCATGTTCACCGCAGTGTCCTCCAAGCCATTCTGCACTAAGATTGAATTCAGCCTTCTTTTGAATCCAGGGTTCCCCCCGCCCCCATTCTGCACTAAAATCAAGTTCAACCTTTTATTCTGTGTTTCCCCCCCAATGACAATCCCTCCCTTCGGTGGTCAGCCCGGTTTCAACCTGCTGTTGCCCCGGGTTATTTGGATGCTGTTTTGCCCTGGACTTAAATGGCCTCAGCTCAAACACTGAGGAAATCTGGAGTGGCAGGCAGATGTGGAAAGGACTTTAACTAGACCGATTTCACACAAGAGCTGCGCCGCGGTCGCGCCTCCCTTTGCCCCGCTTCTACTTGTCAATTTCCCACTCGAAGCCGTGCGGTCGCATTTTGACCCGCGGCTTCGCCCGATTTCCCCCGTGGCTTCGTGATCCTCAGAAAACAGGATCACGAAACCGCGGGGAAAATTGGGTCATGTTTGGTGTAGTGGTTAAGTGCGCGGACTCTGATCTGGGAGAACCAGGTTTGATTCCCCACTCCTTCACTTGCAGCTGCTGGATGACCTTGGGTAAGCCATAGTTCTGTCAGAGCTGTCTTCTTCTTTCTGATTTGTCATTAAAGAAAGGCACAGCTGTGGTTTGATTCTATCTGCAGCATGTTTATTACAGATGAAGCTCCCTTCTACTGAATCAGACCCTTAGTCCATCAGGGTCAGTATTGTCTATTCAGACTGGCAGCGGCTCTCCAGTCTCAGGCAGAGGTCTTTCCCATCACCTAATACTTGGTCCTTCTAACTTCATATGCTGGGAATTGAAACTGGGACCTTCTGCATGCCAAGCAGATGCTCTACCACTGAGCTATGGCCTCTCCCCGCTGCAAGCTTGCATCTGCCTTCAGAACATTTGCGGGTTCTAATAAGAGCATTGTTATTCTGACCATGCGGCTTTTGTTGCAATGGGCTCCTGGTTTCAGCTCAGATTTGGAAGGCGGAACTAAAACGTTGCCTCCATTATGAGACCATTTGTGGTGTTGTCTTGAGTAGTCCAAGGTTTGAGCCGTCCATGAGCTGACGGAGTTAGCACAGAGCTTCACTGGCTCCTCTCTGTAGCCACATATGTTTGGGTGGCCTGGTGCCCACTCCCAAGCTGTTCTTCCTGTTTACTGCGCAGATCCATCTCCAAGCCACCGTGCAATTAGATAGTCGAACACCATCAGTTATACCAGGAGTTGTAGCCTGCTCTGCCAGCAGCTTCCTCCCTCGACAAAAGGGCTTGTAGGACACAGGTCTGTTCCTACCAGCATCACATCTGTTGGAATCCTTGTGTCAGTCAAAAGCATTTGCAAAGGTTGAGACTGGGAAACAAAACAAAGCAAAAAAAACCCTACATCTCAGGTGTGCCAAAACGGGCAGATGAAAATGTTCAGCATGCGGAAAGGAAGTTCCAGCAAAATCATATCTGGAACAAACGTGGCATGCAGGTTAGCTGTTTCTCCTCCGCAGTTGGATCCTTTGCGGGTTTCTCGGGGGGGGGGGTGATGTGTCCAAATCAGGGTTGTGCGGAAAACATTAAGTCCAGTCAAGTTGTGCTGTATCATGCTCTGTTTTTTCACCAGGACAGGATGCTTTAGTGGGAATCTGAGGCTGGCTAAGAGTCCATGTATACCAGGGGTCTCCAACATGGTGACCATGGGCGCTCGGGCACTCACCAACCCCTTTCCTGGTACCTGCCAAGTGTTTTTCGAAAGTGGGAAGGGCCAGGTGGGGCTTTTGCCCAGCAAGGCTTCTGATTGGCTACTGGAGATTTGATTGGCTGAGCAGATTTTTAGAAATGTTCTTTGGTGGCAGCTGCCCTCACAGCAGAAAGATCTTCACTGTATGACTGTAGGTAAGCTGCAGCAGCCATTTTGTGGCTGCGCCCACCACACTGTGCCAGTAGTCCAAAGGTGCATGCACGCTCAAAGAGGTTGGGGACCCGTGATCTACAAATTATGAAGTCCTTGTGTTCGTTGGGAGCAAC